GCTGTTACTCTAAGAGAGTTATGAAATTAACAGATTACTGCTTTTTATAGGTTATTACAGATGTTCAGAGACACTAAAAGTAAATTATCACAACTGAAATTATTTCAAACATAGACCATGACTTTCATTCAGAAAATTAAATGTCTCTACAAACTGAGAAGGATCAGTATTCTTTATGTTCATTCAACAAGCCTGTTGCAAGATTACCTACATGGACCTAATATAAAAATTACCACTCACCCTTGCTATCAAAATATACATATTCTGTTCAAAGATGCGACGACCAATGCACATGCGTGTTCCCTGCGAAAATGGAAGTGAGGCAAAGGGATGAATCTGGCCCAGGGGTTGATGCCGCAGCCAGCGTTCAGGGACAAAGTCTTGTGGCCGAGGGAACTGTGACTCATCCAAGCCAGAGACACCACTCAACATTATACAGTTCCACTGTGTGAAACAAAGTCCTATTAGCATGCTGCTTATGTTTCATTTTTATAATTTATCAAGTCTAGTCTTTTTTTTTCTTATCACAAAGAATAATCCAGACAAAATTATCAAAATTTTTAACGAATTACATTCATCAGTTCAAGCTCAAAATAACAACTCTCAAAAGGAGTAACATCTTACCCCTTTATGAAGAGTATATCCTCTGATTTTGACATCATTCTGTAGTATCCTATTTGTTCCTATAGCAGGAGGTAATAATCTGTCGGATACACAAAATTACTTTCAGTTCTAATAAACCTCTCATGAAGTCTATTTCATCTATTTTGAGAAAACTACATGGAAGATTTTCAAGAGGCTGTTATATGGAAAAGGATGACTAAAGAATGCAAGTTTTTATCCTTTGCTATTGACTAAAAAGTCTAATAATAAATTCAAAGTAAATAGCATTCTTATTGTACTTGAGTTCATGCAAGTTGATGAATAACTTCTACAATCTGTCAATCTGAGCGATGCTAGACTAACTATGAATTAGTCTCGAGATGAACTTCATCAAAGGCACCTTTGACACATTTGGCAGAACAGCATCTCAGTGACAGACACTGAAGTTGTACCAAAATACAGTACTTCATCATTGCTATAAAAAGTGGCCCTTGAGGAAGGAAAATCAAAACAAAGAGGCCTCACAATCAACCTTATGGATAACTTACCTAAAGCTTTCTTTCAAAGTTGCTCTGATATAAGACAGTTGATTTATTTGCTTGGCCGTGATTGGGCTCAAGTCCCTTCCAAGCACACGATCAACCTCCTCTTGGACTTTGGCTTGAGCGTGAGGGTGTTTGGCCAGAAGGTATAAAAACACTATGCTGGAATTGGTCATCTGAAAGGAGGGAGAAGATTGATGATCTTCCACACTTTTGTGAACTTTCTATCAATATATCTCTAGCTTAATTACATGCATATCTGGAAAAAAATTACGGCAAAAAAATAAAAACAGATTTAGCTTATGTCAGGTTGATTTCAACCTGCTTGACAATATATATCATAATGAAAGAGAACAATGATTCTACTTTTCTAAATTCTCTTTTCACTTGTACATGCTTGTACTAATTATACTTCTAAATTCTCTTTTCACTTGTACATGCTTGAACTAATTATACTAAGTTATAAATAACACTATAGTTTTATACTAACACTATTATCAACCTAATTTTTCTAAATATATACAATGCAAGGAATGTTAGCAACTTTCTAATATATGAGGCCTATAACCTCAGAAAGCATAAAATATAAAACACTAAAATCTTAAAGAAAACAAACTGTCTCTGTTCCCCCGGGTAGGAGGTCAATCATGAAAGTGACAACGTCCTTGTGTGAGAGATCTGGATCCAGCAACAGTTGTTCAATCATGTTGAGGCTACGATCTGGGTCTCTCGTGTTCCTTTCCTCTATCCCCTCTTTGAATTCCCGAAGTGTCCTGTCGCACACCCTGTAACAGACATCTGGATATTCATATTTCATAGATATTAAGCTAAACATATGCTTTGTATTTCCAGTTTCACAGGGAGAAAAGGCAGAGCATAAAGTTACTTTAAACTTTAGCTTTAAGTACCAAAAATGAATGGAAAGAAAAGAAAGAAGTAAAAGTAGATGAAAAAGTAGTAGTAGTAGTACAAGAGATGTGATAAAGAAGAGAATAAGAAGAAAAAAAGGAAGAAAGAAAAAAAATTAACAAGAAAAAGGGGAAACAAGTGATGGAATCAAACAACTCAACCACTAAAGATAGTTACTCTGTAAGAATCTTTAAAGACTCTTGCAATGTCTTGAAGGTCTTGGTTGGGTAAATTTTCCACAGGAATTTTTCTTCACACTCAAAAGTGCACCTCAAGAAGTCTATGGCAGCTCTGCTGCACTTCATCTGCTCTGAGTCAATGGGAAGAGTTGGGTCCAAACTACCGAGGTGCCTGTTGAGGGAAATCAGGCAAACAGCTGCAGGAAAGAGAAAGACATAGGAACCATGAGAAGGTGAGATACAAGTGATTGCAACAAGGTAAGACAA